CTCCCCGCAAACGGATAAGGATACTACGACTACTACGACTACTACGACTACCACTACCACTACCACTACCACTACTACTACTACTACTACTACTACTACTACTACTACTACTGCCTCCAGACCACCAGCACCACCACCGCCACTCCACTACTACTGCCAGTACCCAACATCTTGAAGCCCAATCTCCTACCTTTTCTCCCCGCGCATCCCTCAAAACCGGACCGGGCTGCGGTGCGGAAGGGGATCAACACCGGCTCCAGCTCCTCCGAAATGGCAATCTCAAGCGGGAAACGGCACTTGTTCTTGTAGCCATCTGCCCCCCAGGTTTACGTTTTGTGTGGTTGACGTCGGTCTAAACAGCATCGACAATACAATACTATACTGGTAGCAAAACATGTGTGAAACGAATAACTTGCTTGTAAATACATAGCTGCGCTCGGACCACCACCACTAGCTACTGAGCGCTGTGGCACGGTGCACATTTGCAACTACAGTCATACGCAATTGTTTATGTGCTTCTGTATGCATATGCATATATGTGGTTATGTGATGCTATATGTCTGTAGTTATATGTATATATTATATACATATACACATACATACGTAATTTCCACAGTCCCGCTCGGGACGGTCCACCCGAACTGCCGGGTGGAGCTTGATGAATCGCGCTTGCGTTGCAATGCCGTGCGAGTTTCTTGCTGTTTTTGGGGACTCTCCTGTGCTCATTTTCGCTGAAGGCCTGGGCTCCTCGGGTCGTCTCCAAACGCCACCGTTCCAAAGTCGGGTTTTCGTGCTCGCGCCATGGTACGCATGGTCTTCTCGTCAGGGTCCGGCAGAATTCCGGCTCCGGATATCGTGCCCCCACCGGAGTCCCCAAGCAGGTTTTGATCGTGCGCATTTGGACGCAGTAGGGTGGTCTTTGGGAGGTTGATGGGTGCACCTGGATGGTTGCGGGCTATGTCGGCTATGGCCCTGGCACGCTTGGACGCAACTCGTGAGTACCAGGCGAGAACCGGAAGCATCATAAGAATAATTACGTAATGTTAACAACACTGACAGTAACAGTCACCATGACCATAACCATAACAGTAACAACAACACCGTCACAATAAGCAACAGTATAATCGTGTAACCGTAATGATAACCTCTATACTCTGTTCTGCGAACCTTGGGGTGGCCTCTGAAAGTCGCGGAATACAGCGCTCGGACACTCCAGGTGAACCTTTTTGGATATATGCATGTGCTGCTATGACTACGACAATGACGACGGCTACTGCCAACACTAATAACACTACTACTAATAGTACAATGCATCCATGTGCGGGGTCATGGATTTTATGAACGGAATTTTCAACCCTGCAATCAACTCTTGTTGCGCGGCTGAATTCCTAAAACTGCCTTCGACCCTGAACCCCAGCAGTGTTCTTCAGATCGACAGCCAGCTTTTTGGGAATGCGGAGGTTGAAGTAGTCGCATAAACAGGCTGGACAACTTGCAATGACAGCTGACCAGAAGATGATCCGTTCCATTCCGATCTCTGAGTTCATGAGCCTGCGTATAGATTCAGCAAACGGTCATACACTGACACGAAGGTGACTGCAGACTGTGTTCAGGATCACTTGCTTGAAAAGTATGTGTCGGATGAGGCACGAGATAACAAACCGCAGGACAGCTTCTTTGATGGAACTCTGCACCAGTTCCTGCACGTGCGCACACAACGCACACCCTGTCCTCGAAAACCATCTCTGGTTCGGGCACGCCAGCATCACTAAGCCCTGGGCTGGAGGCATGTTTGGGCAATCTTGGTTGGGGCGAGTGGGCCTGGCGTCGTTGCCTTGCCATCACTGCGACTGAGTTGAGTTTCCCTGAGCGAATGGCATGCGCTTGGGTTGAGATTCGCTCTTGTCCTTCCGACCGCTCAAATGGCAAGCCTTGTGATCCAGATGATGGCGTCATGCAAGCATCCTGCAAGCATCAAGTGTTTACGCTCATGCTTGAACCAGGTTTTCATACAGTTCAAACCTTGGACATAGCCGGGAAGGGACCCAAATGTCGAATAGCGCCGAGACAGCGAGCAACGTGTAAAGACGCACCTTGAGCGTCCAAACTCACTCGTATACCAGCTTCAACCGCACCTCCACGACTACAGTTCTTGTTGTGGCTGTTCAAGTTTGGGGCAGTGCGCTCTTCTCCTTCAATCGCTTTGGCACAGGATGGCACAGGATAGGTGGGACAGTGTGTGCATGTGCGCATGTGGTCACAGGTGCATGCATGATTCGCGATGTGCAAGAGCAGACACAGATCAGTGGTTGCAAGGCATGCATGCTAGACCGGCTCCAAGCGAAGCGAGGTGGACACCCGTGTACCTGCTATGTAATATTCAATGTACTAGGATTCTGCGCACACATCAGTTTGTGTGAGCTTGATATGCGTTTCGTGAATCTTTTAAGTCCCTGCAGGACAAACCTATGTTTGCACGGTGACCAACATGTGGCCACCCAGAGTGGCAGAATGCTAGCATATCGTAGGCAATACCCTTTGAACTTGACCATGCCTGTGCACTTGCATCGCTGCCTCATTGGCTGGCATCGTCGGTTTGGATTTTTTAGTATACTGCATCCCGACTGCCAGCCAAACTTTAAGTGTGCGCATGTTTACTTTTGTCTCTGTGTGTGTGTGTGTGCACGCGTGTTTTGGTTCCGCTTCCTTCTTTCTTTCCTTCCTTCGTTGTTTCGTTCGCAGATGTGATGAATCTCGAAGTGCAACTACAGAATGAAACAACCTCAAGAAGTCCTTCGGAAAGTTTCGCATTGTAAAATTACAAAGAGAGGCCATGGAGTCCATGGAGGATCTTACAGGAATTTATTGCATCTACGGAGCGGAAGGTGAGGAATCCTTTAGCATAAAGAACGATGAGCTCATGTAAAGCTCTGTGCAGTCAAGATGCCCATAAAACGCTGGAGCTCCTGAGACCGGCGGCAGGACCATAATCCCTTCCCCCTAATATGAAACGTGGGTGCCCCATTGGAAAGGATCCTGATCTTGCTCTGGCTCTTGCTCCAGCTCCCACTGCGGCACTTGCTCCTGCTCCTTCATTTGCTCTTGCTCTTGCTCCTGCTCTGGCCTGACATCCCCCTACTTATCCCTAATTCAACATCGGTTCTAAAATGCGGGGATGATTTCTGGGGCATCTTCCGGAAAGCGCTCTTATTGTTAAAGGGGGCGGTTAATGGTTGGGGAAGCGATTCCCAAACCTCCCGCGGCCTGTCTTTACATCATCCCGAACGCCGCGAATGCCTCCTTGAGAACGGCATATTCTTGTGGTGCCTGACGTCTACTAAGAAATTCCAAGCATTATTCTGGCATTGATGATCATAATGAACGGTCCTATGGCAGTGAGAAAAACCATCGAAGATCTACATTCAGCAAATACAACGTAACACATCTGGCAGCAAGTGCAAAAGGACAACAAATAATGGAGGAGAAAGCCTGCCCTCATCTTCCGGTTTAGACTTGGCAGCTCGGGGAAGAACGGTCGGGAGGAATATTCACTTTCGAGCCACGTCTGCGCACCAGTTCCGCAGGCGACCGCCGCCAACACCTCAGAATGGTGCCCTGACTTGACCACTGACACTTTACGTGTACGTGTGTGTGTGTGTGATATGACACCCTCCAGTACACAAGTCTCACGATAACATATCAACCGTGCGCTTCCTCCGCATGCAATCTTAAACAGTGCAACATTTAAAGTTGTCCGCAGGTTTTTGAGACTTTGACGAAGTGTGCAGATATGTGCAGCAGGGCGACGCAGCAGTGCGCAAGTATGGCCGGCTCGCGGCTTCAGCACCGGCTGTGGTTTGGGATCCTTCGGTTGGCGCACGTCATTCATTCAGCCGGTACGTGAGCAGGAGTGCTGATGACGACGGTGACAAGGACAACAAATCTATCGATGCGGCAGCGATGACACTGATCAGGGCCTGGATGGAGGCAGTGCTCGTGGTTGTGACGGTCTTGTTGAAATTGACCAAGGACGAGGTACCAGAATTTGAAGGGTCAGAAAAGTCTCAAGCGTGACAGTGATGCAGGCAATGGCCATGAACCTATCGGTCCCTGAATCATCCGAAAGGCAGTTCCGAGAAGCAGTGACCCCTAATCGTGATCGTGTAGAGACCCTACACAACCGAATCCAGAAAACAAGAATACCTGTTATAAGGACACTCCATCTGTCAAGATCTACTCCGAAACAAATGGCTCGACTTCTTCACGCGAGTAATTCCTCTAAGTGTGGATTCGCCTTTCCAGTGATCCCTCCCTTAAGCCAGTTGAGGATAAGAGGCTTTGCCCCTAAACCGCTCAAGCACTCTCCAAGCCCCAATCTCTTCTCCGAACCCTCCAGCCCGAAGCCGCTGCATGGCCGCAGGCCAACTCTGGGCCCTGAGACGCCCCCAACCTTTCAGAGCCTCAATCCGCGAACGAATCCCTATAATGAAGGCCACCCAAGGGTGTACGCGGAATCAGGGGAACAGACTCAGAGAACAGAAGGGCCGAATCAGAGAACAAAAGCGTCGAATCAGAGAACGGGAGGGCCGAATCAGAGGAAGGATTCAGAGAATGACTGTTCTCTGATGGTGGCCGTTCTCTGATTCGACGCTTTTGTTCTCTGATTCGACCCTCCCGTTCTCTGATTCGACCCTCCGTTCTCTGATTCGACGTTTTGCCGCCACCCAAAATCTAATTGACCAAGACGGTCCCTCCCCTCAAATCCCAAACCGCGAAACTGACCTCTTTGCAAGGCCCTTTTGAGCCCCGTTGCGCGGCCTCTTTAGAGTCCAAGAACTCGGCCAAAGGCTCCAATGCTTCCGGGAGCTTCCCCGTGAAGAGCCCGAGGCCCTGATAGATACATGAGTACATACACCGCGCTCTCTCTCTCTCTCCCTCTGCGTGTGTGTGTATACCTAAGTATAAGTTTGGATATAAACATGCACTGGTATACCATACATAGTTCTTCGCTCTACAAGCATAACATTCGGCATATGCGTACCCATGAACATGAGCACACGTACTTACCTACCTACCTACCTACCTACCTACCTACCTACTTACCTACCTACCTACCTACCTACCTACCTACCTACCTACCTACCTCCCTGCCTCCCTGCCTGCCTGCCTGCCTGCCTGCCTGCCTGCCTACCTACCTACCTACCTACCTACTAGTAACTACTACTAGTAACTACTACTACTACTACTACTACTACTACTACCACTACCACTACC